GAGTTTAGCTGACCCTCCAGTGGGTTTTCAGAGGAGGTTAATCGCACAAGAGGAGATTGCCCATCCTCTCCCACAGAGTAGCTGGTGGTCTCAAGCTGTGTGTCTTTGGGATTGCACCATAGCTTCTTGCCACTAGGTCACATAGCTCCCCTGGTCTAAGTATAGATTCTCCATAGCATAATCAAGTCTGCTGGGATTCCCATTCTCCTCAAGGATAACCACAGTTTGAGGCATTGAACACTAATGAATGAAGACGAGATAAGTTGTGGGAAGATATCAAGAGTATCATCCACGAAGAATGCAAAAAGTCATTACAAAGACGAAAGAAAAAGAAATGATCAAAATTGATGTAAGAAGAAACTGAATATTGCACTTGAGCACTGAAAAGCCAAAGCAAAGGGAAAAAATCAAGAAGTTATAGAAGATTTCAAAGGGCAGCACAAGAAGACAAAGATTACAATAAAATGTGCAATGATCTGGAGTTCAAAAATCAAAAGGGCTGAACTTGCTCAGTATCTCTTAAGCTGAAAGAACTAAAGAACAAATTCAAGCCTCAAGTTGCAATACTTAAGGATACTATGTGTAGAATATTGAATGATCCAGGAAATATTAAAAGAAAATGAAAGGAGTATACAGAGTATTGTACCAAAAAGTATTGGCTGACACAGAAGAGTTTCAAGAAACAACATATGATCAAGAGACAATGGTAATGAAACAGGAAGTTCAGGCTGCTCTGAAGGACTTGGCAAAAAAGAAATAAATAAATAAAGCTCCAGGAATTGATGGAATATCAATTGACGTATTTCAACAAACAGATGCTATCCTGGTTGTGCCAAGAAATGTGGGGGATAACTCTGGGCCAACTTACTGGAACAAATCCATATTTTTTTATGGTTTTTTCCTTTTTTTTTTAATTATTATTTTGTGTGTGTGTCTGTGTACCATCAGATCAGATCTGACTAGTACAGGAGGAGATTGTCCCTCCTTTTCCGGCAGAGCATCTGGTGGATTCGAACCATGCTTCTCTGGGATTGCAGTGAACAAATCCATATTTATTTGCTTTCCAAAAATAGATAACCAAACAGAGCATAAAAATTTTCATACAAAATCACTTATATCACACACAAGCAAAATCCTGCTGAAGATTTTCCAGAAACAACTGGAACAGTATTTTGACAAAGAATTATCAGAAATACAAGTTGGGTTTAGGTGAGGCCATGGAAGTAGAGACATTATTATCACCAAGATCAGAAGGATCTTGGCAGAAAGCACAGGGTATCAGAGGGATATCCATTTTCCTTGACTCTAGAAAGTTTTCTAATATCTTAATGTAATATTAAGACACAGACATACAAACAATGCCTAATTATACATTCCTTTTCTTTATCTTTTCCAGTGCAGTGTTCATTATCTATCCACCCTTTTCCTGCTCTCTCCCCATCCTCATCATGTCAATCCTATTTGTGATAGTTCTTTTGTTACTGAGATATTTTACTCAGCATAGTATCTTATCAGATTCTTCCATGTTCTATAGTGTTTTATAAGCTCATTTAACAATCTGGAATGAGAAATGCACTACAAAGTAAATTGGGAAGAAGGAAGAGAATAGGAAGGAGGAAAATATGCATCAATGAATGAATAAAAACCCAACCTCTCTGTAAATTCTCATTAAAATCACAATTAAAAAGTATTTACAGCCTCAGAAACCCAGTGTGATTTAGAATCAACATGATGGTGGTGTGATTGTGATGTAAGGGTGGGAGGAACTCTTACATTAAAGAATAAAACAAGGAAAAAAGATATGGACATTCTTGACAATTTTGTCTGAGATAGAGAGAGAATACCATAATTTAACATTTATAGTTCATAGGAAAGTCTTTATAAGACATGAGTACATGTAACCTTAGTGTTTTCCCTACAAACATATAAAATGTAGTCTGTAAATGTTTGTTAAATGAATGAGTGGATAATAAGGGTTCCATCAATCATCACTCATTATTAAGTGTAGCTGCTGAGAGTTATTCAGATTAACCAGCTGTTCTGAGTAAGAAAAGACCTGGAAATCTGCTCTCCTAAAGATTACAGCCTAGAAAAGCCTATGTGTAGCTCTACTCTGTCCCATAGGATCATTATGAGTTGGAATTAACTTGACAATAGTATCTTCATTCCTTTATAGCACCGATAACGAAAGAAATTTAATGTTTTCACCGCACTGCATTCCCATAAATTTGAAAAATGAAAGCACATCATTAAGCTTAATGAACACTGGAAAAGAGTTATATGAGAGTCATATTTTAACTTTCTCAGCTAATTTTTCTATATCAATGTGTAATAATGGAAAAATTTTGAAATTTAATAAAAAAATGTCTAAGACTAGAACTAAATAAATGATCTTGAATTGTTATAACTTGAGAGGGACACAATCACTGAATATTACAGAGCTACATTGTTAACACCGAGATTATGGCTGATTGGTTTTCATTGGTTGCATAAAATTGAAAGTGCAACCTCAGAAAAAGTGTTTATTATGCCTCATACTCATTCCTCTTAGGAAATTTTAGTATATTGGGAATATAAGACTAAATAAATGTAATTGAAGGTAAATTTGTTTTCTGAAAACACCATGAAAAAGATAACAGAACACTGCTGACACATGGTTAAGTGCTTGACTGTTAACCAGAAAATTCCAAGACACAACTCATTCCCACAGGAAAATGTTACACTCTGCTTCTGTGATGATTATAGCCTAGAAAACTCTAGTTCTGTCCTATAGGGTCACTATGAGCAAAAATTGACTCAATAGGTATGGATCTTTATATTAATAGCAAAGTCTATATTTAAGTTTTGTTATTTTCTTATTTGCCAGTTAAGACTCTAAGTAAAACAATCCCAGAAAATTAACGCAAAAATACGTGGGGAATAGCACAGCTTATTTAATGAGCTAGAGGGAGCTCTGGTGAAGTCGTCACAGGGAGTTGTGCAGCTAACCCGAAGGCAGTGGCCCTTGGGCAGTTGGTATCCACCACTGACGCTGTGGAAGACAGATGAGCAATCTCACACGTGATTTACACTAACAAAAAACTGCTAGAGTGTCTCCACAAAGAGGTTTTGAGATTTAAGAAGAAAAATAATTAAAAGAAAAAGTAAAAATTCAGCAGTTAACAATTTAAAGGGGAACTATCAGGTGATCACCTCAATAGAGATTGAAAATGAAGCTGATACAATTCAAAATCATTTATTAAAGGAGATAAAAATCCCACCCCAATTGATAAAGAAGAGAGCTCTTTGGGTTGAATTGAATCTACTTGCTGCTCATGGGAAAAGGATGGAAAATCTCCTGTGCAATTTATAGCCTCTGAAAACCCACTGAAGGGTCAGCTATGGGTTATTATGTAAACTAAAAGATAGTATATGACAACCTTGAAACAGAAAGGAATGCCCTTTACCCATAGTTAAAAATTACAGAAAACATTGGAAATAATGATGAAATATTGAAAACTTTCTTTCTGTTATCAGCCCAGTCCAGCCCAGCCCAAAAGTGATTATTATGTTCATCTGTAATTAATGTTGAATTGAAGCTTTTCCTAGTGGAGTATGGTAAAGAAAAACATGGTTATTGATGACTTGGTGACTCTGTGTCTCATTAGGGAGCTCTAGAGGGTGAAACCAAGTTGCTCCTTGAAGGCAAGGATTTTGAAACTCCATCTCACATACTTTGGGCATGTTGCCAGGAAGTGACTAGACCTTGACGAAGAACATGATACTTGAAAGGGTAGAGGGCTAGCTCAGGAAAGGAAGACCCTAGGTGAGATGGATTGGCACAGGAACTGTGGTAGTGGGATTAGATGTGTGTCGGAGATGGTGAAGTTGGCTAAGAATAGGGCAAGGTTCAGAGATGTTCACTGTGAGTGGTAATCACACTTAACAACAACCGCAACATCCTAGTAGGGAGTTCTGGTGACTACTGGTAAGAAGCTGCTGTGCAATCACAAAGCCATGCCTTTGAAACACAGCAGATGCTTTAAGAATTGTGGACAATCTCCTCAGCTAGCTAGGTTTAGGTTCAGACTCTACGGCACACCACAGCAGTGACCTGGTGAGTATGGAGTTGTGCTGCTAACCCAGATGGGGGGGAGTTCAGATTGCCAGCTGCTCTGTGGAAGAGAGTCTCCTCCCATAAGATTTACCCTCTGAAAACCCGTTGGCGGGTCAGCTGAGTCTGTTCCAACTCAACAGCAATGATTTCAGCTGAGTTCCATGACTTTTAACAGCTAATCAAAAGAAAATAATCAAAATAAAAGAAGGGCCAAAGGTATTGTATGAAGCTATTTTCATACTATTCAAGTAGAAATGCAAATCTTTTTAAATGGAAAAATCACAAAATTTTTATAAAAGGACTGTCTTCTCCCTAAAAGAGAGCAAGAAATATAAAGCATTTTGGAAGCAATATTTATATATTGGGTATAGTACACTACATTTTTTTTCTAATTGGAAAGGCAGCACAAATACATTTAAAAAATTAAAGACTTTTAAAAAGTGAATGTTCAACCACAATTTTTTTAGAATGTTTAAATAATATATAGAAAGAAAGAAAGAATGAATGGAGTTTAAAAGGTTAGAAGATGGACATTTTTGGAATATACATTGGTTTGTAGATTTCAGTTTAGGGATTATGTAAATATTCTAAATACTCATAAATTAGAATTATAGAAAGAATGATCCTTGAATATTAAAAAAGTGAAAGAAAGCAAATAAACTTTAAAAATACCAAAAAGATATTATAAATATAGTTTTATATTTCACTCTAATAATTTTATTATTAACTCATTATATGTGATTTAAATCTGTAAAAGAAATTTTAGTAGTTGAACTCCAAATAAATAGATATCATTCTTGGATTTTCCCCTTACATCTAAAAAACACAAGGAAACCAAAATATAACGGAAATGAGTGAATATAGGTTTATGTTACTCACTGCCCTTTCTTTTCCATTTCTCTAGGAAAATAAAGGAAAGTCTGGAGTGTTTCCCTGTTAAATTGAATAATCTGATCCACACACTGGCACAAATGGCAGCCACAAGCCCTGCCAAATCAACTTCACAGACTCTTCTCCAGGAATCCTGTACACTGAGTACAACCAGGTTAATTCAAAGAGCAACGATTTTAGGGTTCAGCAAGAAGCACAGTCATGTAAGTATCACGTCTGTGGTCTAAGTGTCATATACTTCATCTCTGATTTCCTCTCACTGCATTACTCATCCTTCCTTTTACCCTGATTTTTTACTACGCAAATGAAAGCCCAGAGTTTGAGCTGAAATGCCATTAGGGAGGATATTCTAAGGAGCAATCATAACAACCAGAGCTATTAGTAGAGAACCATCAAAGAGAATAGTTCCTGCCCTGTGGTAGAATATAAATCAAGAGCTAATTACAGTGTCCACAAGAAATGAACAGCAGAAATTAGAGTCTGTTCCCAGCACATAAGATGATATCTTTGTATTTTGTGTTTATAACTAATTCTGCCTTTATAACTTGGCATCTCTTCACTTTTGTGATGTTTTTCCTTACAGAAATGGTCTTGCCTTGTTTTATTTGCATGGAACTAGAGATTGTTAGCAACTTTTGCAGGTTGACAATGCTGTCTTGATTTTTTGTCTATTTGCTTTTTGTAGGTGTATCTAATCCAGGTGATTTCCAGTGACAATCAAACAAGCCTGATTGAAAAATCATTTGACCAGTTTTCAAAATTCCACAACCAGCTTCAGAAGCAATTTGCATCATTAACACTCCCAGAGTAAGGCACTGTTTTCCACACATTGTATTTCCTTACCTATGCTCTTATCCTTGTCCATAAGCAAGGGGAAAATTATGGTCATGGTGTTTTCTATTTACAAACAATACAGATAATCCCAGATTATAAAAGAATTATGTTCCTAAATCTGACTTTGAGTCAAATTTGTACATAAATCAAAAAAGCTAGCTACAGTTCATATTAGTATCAGTTAGTCAAATATATGTCTAAGTTTATACCTTCCTATATTTAAAAAAAAAAAATGCCCTGATTTCATGACTGCTGGTACCAAGGTATTGTGTATCCAAGTAAATGAAAGTGTTGACAGTTTCAATCGTTTCTCCATCCATCATGATGTTGTCTATCTGTTTAGTGGTAAGAATCTTCGTTTTCTTGACATTGAGAGGCAATCCATATTGAAGGCTGTATTCTTTGATCTTCTGCAACAAGTACTTCAAGTCCTCTTGACTTTCAGCAATCAAGGTTGTGTTAGCTACATAACCCAGGTTACTGATGAATCTCCCTCCAATCCTGATGCCATATTCCTCTTCACAGAGTCCTGCTTCTCAAATAATTTGCTCAGCATACAGACTGAATAGGTATGGAGAGAGACTACAACCCTGACACATTCCTTTCTTTAGTGGTGAACTGCTACCTACTAATTAATCATGTGCAAGTTAACCTTTCTTAAGGATTGCCTTTTTTTTTTGTCTTGACACTTTCTTATTTCTTCTCATTTAAGATATAGCAGTATGACTTAAAACATTCAAAGGGCTCATAAACTTTCTCCATGTGCTTCCTTTTGGTTTTCAGCTTTATTTCAGATTCTGCTTTGCTCAAAACTACTGGTTGGCAATGGTACCTAAACTGATTTTATAACTATTCAAGAAATCTAGAGAAGGGAGGAACCTCTAGTTCTATATACCTTGAACAATAGTTGTTGTTGTTATGTGCCGTCGAGTCTTTTGCGACTCATAGCGATCCTATGCACAACAGCCCTAAACCCTGC